TATATATATATAATATGATGTAAGAACAGAAAAATAACAAACACATATTAAAACCAACAATATAACAATCTAAAATTCATGGCATTCATTATCTAGTGATAGTCATCATAAAAAAAACATAAATTCCTAACCAACAAAAGGATTAAATAGCCATCAAAACAAAGATATAATGTTAAAAACTAGCAAACACAGCGACAATTCCTAAAACTATTTTGTTTAATCCTCTTCATCCTCATCGATGTCTACATAATTAATTTCCACATGATGATGTTGCTCATTTCAAAATCCTTCCTTCTTCTCCATCTGATTGTATGAGGAAGAAGATGCAGTCACGCGGAGGGAAAAAGTAAGAATCGCCCGCGGAGAAGAATCACGTTTGCGAGGGAGAATTGGAGAAGAAAATCGCGTCAGATGCGACGGTGTCAGCCGCATCGGAGGCAACGGTGGTGGCCGTGTCGAAGGTGACAGTGGCGAAGGGTCTTGTCAGAGCAGGTGCTTGTTGCACGAAGGAGAGGGCTATGCAAATTAGGGTTTCTGCGGCAACCCTATTTTGCACAATTAAGCTAATGGATCACCCAACCCGATATAGAAACCCGGGCCCAAACTGAAAAAAAAAAAAAAAAAAAAAGGCCCATAATGGCGCCATGACCCTGCCATGCCGTTACCCATGTAACAGCCGCCATATGCAAAATGGCGGATCCCCACCATACATAGGCCAAACGACCATAATGGATCGCGGCGACGGCCGCCATACCATTATGGCGCCATTATGCCATAACAGCCAATTTGACGACACTGTTATGGTGAAAAGAATAATTTTATATTTCCTCAGAGAAATGTTCTGATTGTTTTCTGCTTAGTTATGCTTACAAATAGGTATATTTAGAGAGAGAGAGAGAAGAGGGCAAATGCCAACTAGGATAAGAGGGATACCAAATATTACAACTTTAAAAGTCGCATCAATTGAGGCATAGGCAACGGCCACAAGGTTAAGTGGACAGATTAAAAAGAAACACTAAAATGTAAAAGCATTACTACTGTATGCACAAGATAAAGATACTACATTTGCTTCAGTTGAAGAAATGAACAAAAAAAAAGGTAACATACGATAAAGCAGTGTCACTTGGTAATGTTAATCAAAGAAACATCAAACGATCAACTCTGTTCAGCTTACATAACATCCATATTCCAATCCAAAGATATATCACACCTTTTGCCTCACTCAAAATCAAGGAGATAAAGCAGCCACCAGCCCAATAACAATCTTACAATACACAGCATAGCACAAATAGCACCAGGAAGAATTGGAGGATCAAATTTAAGATATTGCATTCAAACAAAGGTTTTTATTCTTTTGAATCAAATTCTATACCCATTGCCTATCGCATGCTATAAGTGATGTTTAGGAACATCAAACTCCCAAGTCATCTCCTTGCAGCAATAGAGATCGAACCATTACAACTAAACAATATCTTAATTATTAATTCTACATTTTAAATCTAAATATAACCATAACATTCCAACAATTACACCTAGCTTCAACCCTAAGATGACAAACAAACATAAAACAATCCATTTCGAATTGGAAAGAAGAGAAGCTTTGGAACATACCCCAAGCCACAGTGCATTCCTCGCTAGTGGCGCTAGCCTGGTTGGCTTGGCACTCGATGCCTAAAATCAGATACCAAAATTTAAAAAGCGGAACGAATCGCCACAAATTGAATAAGCGTTTTGAATTGCTTACAGAGATCCATGATGTGGTTCCGGCAGATAGCACAGTTATCAACAACGATGTCTGCAAAAGGAGAAAAGAAAAAAAGTGAGATTTCAAAAATAATCGGAAAATTTAGGGTTTAAGGAGGGAAATACCCCAAGCCCAGAGAGCGACGGCGTTCCACTTTTTGATTTCGAAGCGCTTCGGCTTCTTGGAAGAAGGGCCGGCACTGCTCGAAGGCTCGCCGGCGGGAACCATCGGAACGTCGGAATCAAGAGTTGCCATCTTCCTCTCTCTATCTCTCAAGTTCGCAACTCTCTCTCTGATTTGTGCAGTGTTTATTTCTCGATGGCGGAACAATAGTATTGAAAGGTCTTCTACGCTTTTGCATACTACATTCATGCGTATGTATGTACGTACGTATGTATGTATGGGTGTTCCTTTTCGATGGGTTGGGCTATTCTGTTTAATGGGCTTACATAACTATTGGGCCTATTATTGGGCTTACATAATTTTTTTGTGCAGCTACTGTTTTCTCGGTCTACCAATTTTTAATTTTCTTTTTGACAAAAATATAATGGTTCATGATATATACACCACCTTTTTTCTATAAGTACATCTCCTATTTAAAAAAAATAATTAAAATTTTAAAATATTTTTAATTTTTAATTTTTAATTTTTAATTTTTTAATTTTTAATGTTACATCCACAATATTTAATTTAATACTTTTTTTTCACACATTTTTTCTCCTTTTTTCAATTTTTATATGCACTTCCTTATCTTTCTTTCAATCACCTATTTTAGTAGCATGTGAAAACTAAAAGAAAAAAAAATGTATGAAAAAGAAGAAGAAAGTAGTAAATTAAAAGTTGAAAGTGTAAAATTAGAAAATTTAAAAAAAATAACTACAATATTTTATTTTATTTTTTTCAAAAAAGGAGGTATACTTATTAAAAAAAAGAAGTGTTTATATCATGAGCCAAATATAATTCATAGAAACTAGTTTTGAATAGAAATTTTTGTCATACTGCCACTGAAAAAAAATAATTAAGCCCACCCCCAAATTATTTATCAAATGATTAAAATAAAACTTTACATATTAGTGCCCCTGTAAATTAAATTTCATTAAACAAACTAGTTTCTCAAACATAATGAAATCAGTAGACAAATAAAATGAAATAATATAGAGCCTTAAATATTCAAAAAATAAAATTAAGATAAACATTTTAAAATGTCCAAGAAGCTCAATCACTTCAAAGTAAACCACTATAATTAACCTAGTGATTAGTTAGGAAGGAATTGTGATAATTACAAGCATGAGAACTTAGGATATATCTTTTCTATTTTTACCAAAAAAAAAAAATCACTTTAAAGTAGTGTTTTAAAATCTGACTCCAACTACCCAATTAGATCGGTCTAATCGAGAATCACACATATAATTAATAAAAGGACGATATTATACATTTCGAAAAAATGGTTGAATCATCCTCCGAATAAATAATAAAGTGATATTTGTTAAAAAATTTAATACATAATATTCATCATCAGTGTGTCGAATAATTTTTATGTTTGAAGGATGTAGCATTTTTCTTGATAAAATCAACATCTGTATCAGATATGTAAGTGACTGGCCATTGACATCATCATACTAGTGAACTGGTCTAAATGAACCTTTTCTAGTTGACTTGGACTTCTTCTTTTCCCAGAGACTCGCACTTACTACCCTTCCAGACTCATGCTACCCAAGAAGTTTGTTGCTACGTCAGAAATCACACATTTCAAAATGTCCAAGGAGCTCAACCACTTCAAAACACTATTTTAAAATCCGACTTGAACCGATTAGTTGGATGAGTCTAATCAAGAACCACACATATATCTGGTTCAAATCAACATTAGGATTGAATATGCAAGTAACTCGCCATCAATGTCATCAAGCTGGTGAACCGATCTGGATAAACCTTTTCTAGTTCTAGGAGTATTTATGTATCGATTTTTTAAAAAATTCGAATCGATTATAAAATAGATCAGTTAATCGATCCGTTTTTTATAAAGTGGATCAGTTTAACTTTTTTAAAATATGGATCAATTATCTATTTTTAATTCATATATGAATCGGTTCTTTTTAAATTAAATCAAATCAAACCGATCTATTTTGTAAAAATAGATCGAATAATTGAATCGATTTTATAAAATAAATTGATGAAGATTTTTTTTCCAAAATAAATCAGATTTTTTAAAATGAATCAGATCGATTATGAATCGGTGAAATCTGAATTCTTTTGCACTACACCAAAATTAGTTTTTTGTGGCAATTAATTTATTATTTAGCGGCCATATAATGGTCATTATTTTTTTTACCAGCATTTAACTAATGACTGGTGTATCCAATGTCGCTAATACTATTACCGACATTTATATAAAATGCCGGTAAAGATCTACTAAATTGTCGAAAAAACTTATTTTTTTTAGTGGCAATTCTAGTAGCCATTTTAAATGCTATTAAAAGTTATTTTTTTCAATTGTCTCCTTTACTTTAAATAATTTATTTATATATTTTTTAATTTATTTTTTTAATTGTCTTGTCTTTTAAGAGATGTGAGATTTATAAGGTGAAGGTTGCTCTCTAATTGTTTTATAGCACTATTGAACTTGGTAACAATAAATGATTTGATATCAATTTAGAATAGTGAATTAGGAGTCAATCTTATAAAATGAACTTGTAAGGTAATAATTATTACTCACTTATATACTATTTAATTATCTTATCTCTAATCAATCTGGGACTTAAGTTTTTTTTAATAAATAATTGTCGCTACTAGTAAACTTTAATGTAATATAAATATATTTTTAGTGACTATTATATATTAATCATTAATATTTTTACATATAGCGATAATAAAATTATTGTCATTAAATAATTGTCACTAATAATAAATTTTGTTGTAGTGTTGTCACCTATTAATTCGAACTTCTTCTTTTTCTGCGTTGCTTTGCTTTCACTCACACTACCGAAGAAACATGCTACCCTTCAAGACTCATGATGCCAAGATGTCTGCTGCTATGTCGGAAATCACGCATTTTAGTTTTTAAAACACTTTGTTATGTAAGGTAAAAGTGCTTGAAAATTTACGGTGAAGAAGGTTTGACCTCTTACAAATTAGTTACAGAAAACTTGTATCACTAGGCTAAATGGAATTGAGTGCTTATGTCTTATATATATATTTTCTCTTTTACTCTTGTAACTCAAAAAAAAAAATGACAGTAGAGAAGTCATGTATATATATATATATATATATATATATATATATATATATATATATATATATGATTTGTTTATTTTAAGAATAAGTCCATATAAACTTACTCCGTTCAATAATTCATATTCTAGATCAAATTTTAACGATCTAACTGTTAAATTTAAAGTTCGTAATGCATATATAAATCAAATCTGTAAATTTTTAAAAATTTTAAAAATTATTTGATACTTTATTTCATTGATTCAAATCAATGTATAAAATGATTTTATGATTATCTGTTAATTTGAATCAATGAAATGAAGTATCAAATAATTTTCAAATTTTCTAAAACTTTGTAAACTTGATCTATGCATTAAGAATTTTAAATTTAATGGTTAGTTCATTAAAATTTGATGCAGAACATGAGTTATTGAATGAAGTAAGTTTAAGTATACTTACTCTTAGAATAAATAGATCCCTCCCCATATATATATATA